CGGCTCTTTCTAAATTCACAAAGATCTCATTTTTCCACACACCGGATAAGCCCCCCTCTCTCCCACTCTCCTCTTCCTCTTCCTCTTTCTCTTCCTCTCCTAAATTTTCTCTCACTTTCCCGAGAAAATAAAAGTTTCAAATGCTCGCCTCTCGACTGATTTTCTCTCCTTCTCCACTATGACATATAAACAATAAATTCCCCAAAAAAACTCTGTACTAGTAATAACTACTAATTATTTCTCGCCTTCTCCTAATACATATGCACAATGGCTACAATTGCTTCTCTGTCTTTCTCTGCAATTGGTAAATCTGAGAGAAAACGCAATGTCCTCTCAACTCCTGCTTTAGCTTCAAATATTGAGGGATTTCGTGCGCGTGCAAACTTCTCCTGCCAGTATATTGGTGTCAGAGCTTCGAATTCCACCTCGCGGCTTGTTGTTCATTGCATGTCTACTGCTTCCGGTAAGTTGCTTTTATGGTTTCTTCTTCTTCTTCTTCTTCTTTTCTCTTACCAGCTAAGTTTCCGACGAAATAGACCGTGATGGAAAGAAACGGAGGTTCTGATGAATTTTATGGGACTGAGTTGAGTTCTTCGATTTTCTGCTAGTGAAGAAAGTGAATTTCGTGTTTTCGATGTGTTTACTTATATTTTGTTTTGACTGCTTGTGGAATTTTGCTGCATCGTCTTGTAGTGGCTTATTTAGAGAAACACCGAAGTTATGCGGTATTCATTTCGTACTTCTTTATTGAACGAATTAAGCTAAGACCTTTTCATTAACTAATTTGTATCTGTTCTTAATTCTCTGATTTATCGTTTTCATGGCCCGAAGTTATAGAAACTTGATACTCTTAACAATCTTGCATTCCCAATACTAGGACTTGTTGGCCATGAAATTACTTCATAGAGATATCATGTCCTTCTAAAGGCCATTGAAAGAGATTCAAATTTTTTGGCTTCTCTTTCCCCTCCTTACGGTAATTGATGCAAGTCAATTAACTGAACTGAAGCTTCACGAACCATTTTCTCCTACACTAAGAACTTCATTTTTTGATGGAACTAATTGTATACCGTGCATGTTAATCTTATACCCCACGTGTAACAAAACTATGCTATTGACAGGCTGGTGCAAAACATATTATTGAATTTTTGTTTCCTCTGCAGTGTCAGTTTTAATGAAGAATTAGTTATTTATAAAGTAATAAAACTAGTAAAGCAAAACTGTAATGTCATAACTGAAATGGGGATCTTCTTAGAATGTCTAACTACAATTCTATATATACATGTGTTCGTGAAAGCTTTGATACAAGAATCTTTGGGAACATGTATACATGGGATATTTTTGATGAACATGGCATTTAATATGAGAAAAAATTCCAACTAAAAGTGCCTAGAAACTAATTGTAACATCGTAGATAAAACGGATATGATTAACAATCTATAGATGCCAATGAATTAAATTCAAGGACACATAAGACTACTATCAACAGCGCTTAACTACACACACATACATATAAATATACACCTGCAGAGTAGTTTAGATGTTAATCATTTCTTTCATGTTGGACAGATCTGGACTGAAGCAACTAGCTGACTGCCATTTTATGTTTCAGTTTGTTTGAAGCCTATTATTTTCCTCTTAGTTAAGATGTTGGTTTCATATATAGCAGCTTGCATAAAACTCTATGCTTTTCTCTTTTTGTACTTCTCTTTCAGTGACTGTTCTATTTATTTGATTTCTGTATTATCTTCAGTGTCAGATCTACCTACTGTATCTGAGACCAAGTTGAACTTTTTACAAGCATATAAGCGACCAATCCCTAGTATCTACAACACCGTATTGCAGGAATTGCTTGTGCAGCAACATTTGATGAGATACAAAAGGACATATCGTTATGACCCTGTGTTTGCCCTGGGCTTTGTTACTGTGTATGATCAACTCATGGAAGGATATCCGAGTGATGAGGACCGTGATGCCATTTTCCAAGCATACATAAAGGCACTGAAGGAAGACCCAGAACAATACAGGTTTTTCTCTTTCTTGTCTGTTCTTATGTAGGTTCAACCTTTTTCTTCTTTTCAGTGCTTGTTGAGTTTGTCAGTTGCTTTTAAGATGGTTCTTTTAGTATGTTCCTTATTAGATTCGTAAAGCTCAAGATCACATGAGCTTTTTTTTAATTTGATGGCAATTTAGGTTCCTCACCCCCCTCCCCCCCAAGAAAAAACAAACAGATCTTATCCCTTCTCAGAAAAATCCAATCCAAGGATGCCATTGTATCAATTATCTTTCCTTCTTTCTTTCGTTGCTGAATGTGGAAAGTATATTAGTTCTATTGCTCTATATTTGGCAAAGTTTAAAATGCCAGTTATGTGCAACCAACTTGGAATTGCACCCGTTATTGATATTGTGCTCCATGCTTGCATTTTATAAACTCTAACAGCTAACAACTACCCAGATGGAATTATATTGTATGTTATTCTTGATAGAATTGATGCACAAAAGTTGGAAGATTGGGCACGGGCTCAGACTGCCAGTTCATTGGTTGAGTTTTCGTCAAGAGACGGAGAAGTGGAGGGAAATATTAAAGGATATTGCAGAAAGAGCTGGGAGTAAGAGAAGCTTCAGCTACAGCCGTTTCTTTGCAGTTGGGGATGTTTCGTCTACTTGAGCTTGCAAAACGCAAACTGAACCAACTGTGCTAGAACAGGGTGAGATCTTCCTTTTTGTTAGCAGTAGTATTATGATATTACCTCAATCCTCATGCATGATGTCAACAACTTTAAGCAGCATCTCATCAAGTAATTGAATGATCCTGGAAAAAGCATTAAAGATTGTGTTAACAATTAATGAATAGTATTGAATTGAATAAATTATAACTATTACTCGATACTTTATTCCATGCATTCATTTTTCCTTTGGCCGGGGGGATGGGCCCGGAGGGGGGGTGGGTGGGGAAGGGTGGGGGTGGAGCCAGGCCTAGGAGTGGGAAACTAGGAAAGATCTCCCTCATGGACTTATCTACATTATGATAGATTCAGACCTGGTACAGGCACATGTTACTGAAAACCAAATGTGAAGGTTGTTTTTTTGAATCGTTTGTAAGGGATTTTTTCCATAGGGGGAAAAGAGGGAGGTTGTTGCATGTGAGGGAAATGACATTTATGCACGCTACATTAATGCAAGTTCTACTTTTTAGCTAATGTGATTTTCAGATGAAAGTTATGTTGTTTAAATCAGCTTATTCCTTTCTGTTATCTTTCTTTTTTTCCAAGTGAATTAAACTTCGCTATATATTTCAGTGAAAGATTTTTCCTTCCAATTGACATTTACTGGTTGCTATGCATCAGCTTTGTACTGCTTTAAATATCAACAAAAGAAGTGTGGATCGCGATCTTGATGTATACCGCAACTTGCTTTCAAAGCTTGTTCAAGCCAAAGAGTTGCTAAAGGAGTATGTAGACAGGTATGAAATTTCCCGTTACCCAAGTTCTGTAATTTTACTTTTCTGGTTGATAAATTATATTTTAGTTAAAAATAATTATCTGCCTGTGACCACTGAAAGTTTTTAATTGGACGTTCTCAACTGAAAGACTTCAAAAGGACACACCATATACATTAACCTCATGCAGAGTCTAAGGTTGTGAAAAATTGACTGCTGGGAGAATATTTTCAAAAACTTTATACATATAGGTTTGGTCCTACATTCCAATCATGTCCCTCCTGTTACTAAAAGGTCATCCCTGCATACCACATTGTACTCTGGAAGTGATAAATTTCATTTTAAAATCAACTAGCTAGTTTTGCATTAGGTAGTGTCCGCACTTGAGTTTGCACTTCATAGATATGATTTTACCGCTCTAAAATTTTGTAGCATTCATATGTATGTACTCTATTACCTACTCTTTTGTGCCCCAATGTTCATTTGCATTTTGTTTCGGGTTTCAGGGAGAAGAAAAAGAGGGAAGAAAGAGCAGAGTCACAGCAAGCTAATGAGGCTATCACTAAATGTTTGGGAGAATTCCAATATTCACGCTAGTTGGCAGTAGACAAGTGCTAGTGGCTCCTTGTGAATCTTCAATCCTGTATCATGAGGTACACTTTACCATCACCATGTTTATATGTTTATTTCCCTGCAACTAAGACAATTTTCTTCCATTTTTTCTAAAAATATATTTTTTGTGCATTAATTTTGTTTTGAAATACATATGGTTCAACATTCTCCAAGGAAATCCAAAATAAGTTCATTTATTCTGTCTTCTACGGAAATGAAATGCTAATCTAAACACGGTTGAACAAGAGTAGTCAATAGTCATTAGCTGTAGGAAGCAGTGGAACAGGCTTCCATGTTGGAGGATTTTGCAATGCCACCTCAACGTACTTAAAATATCTGCATATTCACGTGAATCAAACCATTGTAAAATAATATTCTGCAATCAAAAGGTCCAGATTTTGGAGGCACCATCCCTTCCAGACATTGTGTGTGTGTGCTAGTCAAGAAATTGCAATGGCTAGAATCAATTTCCCACCATTAATGTAAAATGATAAACGAAGAGCATTTACGCTAATGTTCAAGCCCGAGAAGGCCTACTTCTTAGAATAGGAAGTTCAAGCCCAAGAAGGCCTACTTCTTAGGCTACTTCTTGCTTTTGAGTTGTTTTCAGGGAGGCAACTCTTTTTCTTCTTTCCTAGGCTATCGCCGCGTATTAGTTGGTTGAGCTTTGCTTGATATTATTACCAACTGTGAAATTTTGAAGTACAAAAGCAAATCACTCCATTAGGTAGCTTGAATATGTAATGTATGAGAGATTCGTCAAGAAAATGCAACGTCTTGACTCAATTTGCCATCATTAATACACATATGATAAGGGAAAAGCATTTACACTTGTGTTCAAACCCAAACAACTATGAAATTCCAAGTACAATAGACAAATCACTTCATTGAGTAGCTTGAATATGTAACAAAAGCAAATGAGGCTTCAACTAAGATGAGATATATCAACCTCATCCGGGATCCTGAATGTGTCAGCTGCTCCAAACTTCCTAAACTCTGCTCCATCCTCCGCAGAGTCTTCATCATTCTCATCATTTTCCTCGGCATCATGCTGGCTATGGCCATGTGAGGAGGGATCATGGACACTTTTGGACCTGCAATCATGGGTGGCAAGCATGTTTACTTGACCAAGATGAGAAATTTCTACCACAACAGTATCATCATCAACTGGCAGTGGTTGCTTCCAGGGTTCCCCATCAATTCTCATGTATGTACTGTCTGCTGCACCTTTATGAAACTCAAAGCGGATTCGGTATGCCTAATTCCCGAAAAAAAAGAAGCACAAGAAGGTTAGTTCGTTTAGGAACTAATTCACACTAATCCAACTGTACAGTGTCATTTCATCAATCAATAAGAGAAGAAACAGGGAAGATGCTAAGACAACTTGGGTCCTTGGTTAACATTAACAAATTTTGAGATTCATTTGTAAATCTCATGTAAATAATAGTTTGGAGCCCTGTTAACTTAGACCAAGGAAAAAACACACGGCAAGATCATCTGGTAACATATTTCAAATTAGAAGCTTCCATGGAAACTGCTTCATATATATATACGTGTTAAGTCTTTGATCTCTCATGAAAATTGTGAAAATATAACATTGATCTAGAGAAATTTCCCAAAGATTGTTTATACCTGGGCAAGGCGGGTCCCATGTCCATTTGGAGCAAGCAAAACAAGTCCATGCCAAGCATCTCTGAAACCAACAACCTCTAGAAGCCCATCATCTACATATGGCGGAGTCCATTCCTTCTGCGTAGACAGCCACAGATGGGCATTCATTCGTCCGATGGGAAACGAAGTGCATCAAATAAACCAGACTAAAATTCCATTTCAATGTAAAATAGGAATAAAAAATTAAGAAAATAGAACCAACATCAATCATTCTCCTGCTGTCTGGTGTTCCCCAAGGATTCAGACCACCGGAAAAACTTGGCAAGTTCAGACACACTATTGACCTGATGCTGTTTATTGAAAAAAAAAAAAAAAACATAAGATTAGAAGAATCACGGCCGTTTATATCAAAACTTCGCATTTCAGGGGAGAAAAAAGTACAGCATCGCTGATACTATATGCAAACGGAAGCAATAAAATAAACATGGTGATGACTCAGGAAAACAGAACCACATATAACCTGTAGAATAACAGAGTTGAATTGTATTACAGAAACGTAAATTATACTGTAAACAAACCTGCCTTCAAGATTGTGATCTCCCAAAGGATCAGACAGTTGCATGTTTTATGCAACCAAAAAATGAATAATCAATGAGAATGCCACATTAATGAACAGCAGATTGAAGTTGTTTTTTTAAGTAACAAGCAAAAGCTTCTTTTTTTTTTTTCCTTTCAGATCAAGGTGGAAGTCATTATCAGTCGAAAGATGTCCTCCACAATTTCGTATGGTTAACTTCCGTGCAGAATGATATGCCTAGTTTAAATTAGACAGTATTAAGCCTGAAACTCAACAATTTACCTGGGAGGTATGTGGAGATCTTGCCATTCACCATGTTTTTTCATGACTTTCACCTTTGCAAGCTGCGCTATATTTCTATAATACCGAAAAAAAGAGAAGTTTCAAATTTAACATGAAAAAAGACAAAATTATAAGAGAAAAACGCTCCAGATTCACTTGAATGTGAAAGGTTGAAATCCCAGCTTCGCACTAAAGGTAGCATATATGTCAAAACACTGTTAATTCCTGTTTCTATGCTATATTTCATGCTCCTGAAATATAAAAGATTCATTGGAGGTGAAAAAGAATCTGATGTCATTCACAATAACTATTAAATTTTCAAAATGGTAACTGCTAGTACAACTGAAAGATAAGTAACTAGGATTGGGAATAAATGTTCAATCTCCCCATAGCTTCAATTTACAACATGGTGGCTTTAGCTAATATACAACTGTAAAAGATAAAAAATCATTCATGAACGAGTTGGGAAATTTTTATATCGAAACACTAAAGCTGGACACTTTTTGTAATATGTAATCCCTATTAAGGCAAGTAAAGAGTCTTCTATCTTAAGGAGAAACCTCTACACTCACCGTGAAGCAGGATGGAAGAGAGAAGCGAAAAACCATCCTTGCGTACAACCAAGCCTGGCGTAAGTACTCTGACAAGAAGAAAAGAATCAAAGGAAAAGATAATAAAGGATGCTCATTTACAAAACTGAACACATTACATGCGTTAATGGACCAACCCAATTTGATGAATGTTTTCCAATATAGGCAATATACGTATCCAGGTGACATAAATTTAGACCAGATTATATAAAATGAATAATAATAATCAGAAATAAAAGAGAAGTTCAAAAACCTACTTTCCTGAAGAAATACCAAATTTTTGCAGATGAAGAGGCTATCCAGTAAACTAGTAGATTTATGTAATAAACCCAACCAAAATTCTCAAAACAGAGTTAAGGTATGCAAACGAGAAACATCTCCACCACTGAATTGACCAAAAATCCACTTACATGTGTATTTAAAATATTAATCTTGTTAGACTTTTTTGATCCTGATGAATTAGTTATCATTGTAAAATCTCAAAAGTGTATTACATAATCTACTTCCAAGAAAAAGAAAAATAATAAAGGGACTTATTTGCTACAAAGATTTACCAAATTTAGAATAGCTTTAGACCAAATCATTACAGTAACTAATTGACCAATAAAGGCAACAAAAGAAAACTATTAAGGATCTAGAAACTTACAGCATTAGGATCTTCTGCTACTGAATACCAAATTCTGTATCACCATGTACAAGATTGGAGTATCCACTTCACAAGGATTATCAAGTATTCCCAGGTTTTAACCAACATAACCTAAAAGCATAGTACTTTCTAGCCATATTATTCTTAAAACTATTTGATTAAGATTTCTCAGCCTTGCTCTTAATGGATAAAAGTAGCTGAAATAAAATTTATATGCCATAGCTTGGACACTTCTTAAATTTAAGATGAAATTACTAGCTAAGTCATTCAATAAAGTGTACCATTGCTAATTACAATGTACATGTGCAACAATAACATGTGGAAAGTAAGGTAATACCTGGTTAACTAATTGATTTTTAAATTTTTCAGGATGCAATTTCCTCTCAGAATGAAATGCATATGATATTTGAGCATCCATTCCTGTAAGAAACAAAGAATAAACAGTTCACTTTTGCATCCAGGTTCATATAAAGCATACATATAATGATATACAACTTATATTGCCATGGATGACTCATATGACTATGAATAAGAATACCTATAACTTTATAATTTATCATCAACCATACATTCACCTATTAAATCACTTCAATGCTTTTCAAAGTAGCCAAGTTTCTCAAGTGATAAAAAGCTAACAAAAAATCAAAGATTTGAAGTTTATTGTAACTCAGGAAAAGCAATCTTGCCGAAGTCCACTTAAAAGGCTTCTATAAAGAACAGAGGAGATGACCCTGCTAATTTTGCACTACAAATGCTAATCCAAGAGCAACTCTTACCCATGCTGAAGTAATTCCAGAATCCTCCGCGAAATGTGTGATAACCTTCCTAGGAAACAAGAGAACTTGGACTGTAAGAAACAGAAGGTAGAGATATGTGCTTAAAACAACACAGCATGATAGTATACCACGTTCAACTCATCTGTTGAAGAAACTCGATGAAATGCATGCAGAGAATGTGGTAGCTCCAAAGGAGCAATAGGATCACAAGGACCTTCATTCGGAATCCTCATCCTCATTAGAATATGCCAGCTGGAAAAAAATGCAACATCAACAACTAGATTCATGAAACAAAATCTGCAAAAAAACTAGTTTTCCTCCAACATGAAAGAGACAGAAATGACAGACAAAAGTGGGAAACATATGCATCAACAAGTGTACGCATGCTTGCACATCATATATGCTTCTAAAAGAAAAGTTCCACAAATTTTAAATTGGATCTTATGAGAAAAAGATGTGAGAGGAAAAGATTAGAATATTATCGAAAGATCGGTTCTTTGTTATGACAGAGCAAATAATGAGTGAAAAGGCAATAATAATTTATTATTAGCATTGTAGTTGCAGCAATATGTGGGCTGAGACAGGCTCTCAACCACTGGATATCTTATTATGCTACGAGATGCAGTGACATACATTTCTCTTAAACTAAAAATATTAACGCACACACCAGAGAGAGCTGCATACTTGTCTATTTTCATTTCCTTTGCTTTTATTACTTGCTCCAAAAATGACACCACAGATTGGCGATCGGTTCCAGGATTTTTCTTCCCCTACAATGTAGAAAATTGCATATAAAAAATATGCAGAAAATTGCATGAAAAAATATGCATCTTCTGCACCAAATACATAGAGATACACCCATATTATTGATGAACGGAAGTTAGACAGAGAGATGTTTGAAGAAATAAATTAGATAGAGATCCTCCAATTTGGGAAAGGAAGCAACAAAATACTTTTTATACAGGCAGTTGAAAATAGAGGATATCTTGAAAATGCCACCAATAATTTTGGCAAAAAAGATGGCATTATAGAGAACTAAGATCATCTATTCATGTCAGGCATGAAATGAAAACTAAAAAAGAAAAAGAATAACCCTTCATGATGTATAAACCCAAGAGAACCCAGCACATTAATAGATTCATCTGAGCAGTTTTCAAGGTGCAACTCTTTACCCAGCCAAAAGCAAAGGGAAGATTATTCCCAGTTCCTAAAGGCATTGTAGCAATTGGTGGTGGGTAGGATAATTTGAGATCACAAACAACTCCAAGAAGCCACCCAGCAGTTCCATCGCCTCCTGCAACCTAATGAGGAAAGTAATAGCAAATAATAAGAAATAAAATTTATGAATGGTTATACAACATGTATTGCATGACATAAAAAAAGGTGTTCCAAACTAAACTTACAATTATTCGCAATCTCTCCTGAATCTCTTTAGCAAATTCATCTCCATCATTCTTAAGCTTCTCCAGGTTGACATAGATTCTACTCAGCACCTTATCAGGTGCCTCCTCCCCCAAATCAAAAACCTGGGAATCAATCACACCCAATCATCCCAATCCCTCAAGTAATATCTTGCTACAACTATCGAAACTCTTTCTAATCGAGCATCAAATAAACAACAAAATGATATTGAAATACACTTAATAAGAGACTAAAATCACCTGCTTTTCATTGAGAATGCTACGGAACGTCACAAGGAGGTCTGCACCCAACTGACCACCGCTCTTTGAGTTGATAAAGACTAACACTGGACATGTAGGCATATCCGAGATGCTTTCATTCTCCACATCGCCATCAATTATGTAAGAAGGAATGTAGAAGTTCTTCAAGAAATCAGACTGGGATTCAGATTCGGCCATTCTGGAATCCAATTGCATCAAAACATGAGCGTGAGCACAAAATTCAGACAGCAATAAACGAGGAACAGCATAATGTCCAAATGGCCATAATAAATCAGAGTTTCATCAATTCACATGCCACGAAACAACTAATTCTTCAACCAGTTAATAAACAGAGCTTACTTTCAAATCAACACCCTAATTTGACCATAAACCAAACTACTGGACTCTAAATTCTAGGGTTGGTTCTTGCAAAACCTCCTCGTTGAA